AATAAATAAATTTTCACAATTAGTATCGAAATTTCATCATACGACACCGTCTCATAATATTTTGCTTAAAGAAATGTAATAAAAGGAAATGTCTGATAGTCTAAGTGTGGCCCTCAAAATAATTAGGGAATGAAGAGATAAGTGGCTTAAAAATATTTTAAAAGCACCGAAGATACTTAGAAAATACTAACAGAAAGCTATGCAGTGATACGAAACTAAAAATGTTAGAAACTGGAGAAACTACTTTAAATAGATAAATTGCTGAGATATAAGAGTGAAAGGGTAGAAGATATGTATACTTGAAAAAAACTATATGTATATTTATATATACATACACATACGTACATATTTGCATACATACATATGCTTGTGTGTTACCCACCTGGTAGCTCCAAAAAGTTGGACGTGCGTCGCTGTCGCCCACGATTGGAGCTCTGGAAGGCCAACGGACCGATGTCATCGTTCGAGAATATGGAAGCATTCGAGCAGGCGCTCTTCATGGACTCGCGCGAGCTGCGACGACTGGCCAGGTAGGCCAGGCCGCCCTTGGAGCTGCCACGGCGTCTTGGCTTGTACTCGACGGCATCTCGCTTGGGCTTGGATGGCTTGCAACCGCTCAGCTCGTGCTCGGCGTCCTGGGTCAAGTCGCTGGTCGACTTGCGATAGCGCAGCGACACAACGCTGTCCGAGCAGGTGCGATCCAAGGTGGAGTGGGAGCTGTGGAGCACCTGGTAGCCAGGATTCGAGGTGATGTTGATGGCATGCCGACGCTGGCGRCGCTGCTGCTGCTGCTGCTGCGGCTGCTCTTGTGGCTGACCATCCGTGTCCGTGTAGCTGAAGCTCGTGGTGGTGGTGGTCGTGTGCTGGGTCGCCGTCTCACCCGACTCGTTGGACAGCTGAGTGCATTCCGTGACGCAGGAGTCTCGCTTTAGGCCATAGTATCCGGGTGTGGAGTAACCGCCAGATGATCCAGTTCCTGTTCCGCCCCCACTCCCTCCGCCCCCTACTGCTGCAGCTGCTGCTGCACTCAGGGATCGCGCATCGACCTTCGTTATGATGGGCAGCTCCCACTCGTCGCGCCGTCGCTTGCCGGCCACACCGGTTGTGGTTAGCTGCGGCACCTGCTCCAGCTGCGTCGCGTGGCCACGAATCAGCTTCTTGGAGCCCTGGCGCCTGGGAGAGCTGGGCGGCTCATAGTAGAGCGAGCCGTCGTCCGGGGAGATGGGCTCATAGTACTCGAATTTCTTGCCCAGCGCTGCTTGATCCATGCCGCCAGCTGGGCTGACTGCGTCGAAGACGAATTTGCACGGCGACTTGGGGCTGTGGGTCAGCAGCGAGACGGAGTCGTCAACGGAGCCCGACGGGGGCGTCTGATAGTAGGACGAGGGCGTCGAGCTGCTGGCCTCGTCGCAGCTGTCGTTGGCATAGGTCGTCGTTATTTTCGGACTGCGCGGCGGCTGATCGTAGTTGCCATAGCCATAGCTGCTGCTCGACTGCGTGGGCGTGGCATAGACGGAGGGCGGCGCCGCGTAGTAGCTTCTGCTTGGGGCGAGACCTATTTTTGAATTGAACGAATTGAATGGGGCCTCGCCGACTCACCTGGGCGACTTAGGCGTGGCGCCTTTGTAGGGCAGCGGATTGCTCGCAGCACGCGCTGGCGTCTTGTGCCCGCCATGGCCGTGCGCGTGGGCGTGGCCGTGGGCGTTTGTCTGTGTGTGTGGGTGTCCGTGTGTGCCATAGTTGGAGGACGCATCGCCACCATCCCAGCTGTGCTGCTGCTGTGCCATGTTGACCAAATACTGGCGGGGACCGACGACCGGGGACTGGGCGGACGGTCGAGTAGGTTTAATGCTCCAGATGCTGATGCTGCTGTAAGTTGAATGCCACTCATGTGTAAATATCACGGGCCATTACTCAACACAGGCACACACTCACACACACACTCACTCGCACACACTGTGCACACATAATTTATGGTTTTATCTTTATTTAATAAAATAATGCAAACTACAATAAAACCAAAACTCATMAAATGGCTACGCTGACTTCCATGTCTACATTCAACATCCAACATTAAATGTTGCCCGCGGGCAGCTTCTCTGTATGCGGGTCTGTGTGGATGTGCGTGTGTGTGCGTGTGCGTGCTGCGTGTGTCAGCAAATTATTGTGAAATGTGCGTTCAGCTCGCTTTAAGTTGACAGCCCAAGTGGCCGTGGCCTTGGCTCTGGTCCTGGCTGAGACTCCACACATATCAGCAGCTTCTCAGCTTGCTCTCTCCTCCCTCTCCCTCTCTCTCTCTCTCTCTCTCTCTCCCTCGGTTGGCAATGCACGCATGCCACCACAGTCATTGTTGCATGCAACAGTTGGCTTTTGCCATGCGTTAAAAATTAATGCTTGTTATACCCTGTTGCCACATTGTAAATGGGTTAAGAAGCTAATATTGTTAGATTGTAAGCGAAAGAGACAAAGATAGAGAGAGTGAGCCAAAGAAGCTGTTAATGTCCAGCTTGGACTTTACATTTTAGTCTAATATCTTACAGAAGTGTGTTTGGATGGGTTGACTTGGAAACTATTCAGATCTAGCTCGTGCTTCAAACATCTAATTTCTGTATGAAAATTTCCTTTTAAATAATATAATATTTATATATTCAAATTTCCCAGATCAGATCTAACTCGTGCTTCAAACATAATTTCTGTATGAAAATTTCCTTTTAAATAAATATTTATACACATATACAAATTTCCCAGATCAGATCAGCATTGATTCAAATATTTTTTCTTTATTGCTCGATGATATCTTCTTCAATTTGTTGAACTCATGCATGATTATAACATGTAACGCCTAATTAAACTCAGCTCTATTATTAATCAGTATCAGTTAAAGTTTAACTGACTTGAAATAGTTATTCAACTTAACTTAGCAATAATATTTGCCTTTTAGTTTTGGTAATATAATATTGATATGATATTAAAGTAAATATAGCCAATTTATATAATCTTATTCATAAACTTATTATCGCTAAGCCTGATTGAATCGATAATTTTTCATTCGCTCTCTCTCTCACTCTCACTCTCTCTCTCTCTCTCGCTTTGTCTCTCTCTCTCTTTCTTTGTATATCTGACTCTCTCTGTTTTTCTCCCTAACTCTCTCTCTCTCTCTCTCTCTCTCTCTCTCTCCTTTCTTCTCTGTCTCTTCGGTTTTTGTAATTTGGTTGATTTTATTCAATCAATTAATATTATAGACTTGCTATAAATTTAAATATATCGTTATCCTGTGTCTACTACTCATTTAAAGTGCTTTAAAGAGCTTTACAAAGTAAATTTACCGTATTCATTTTCACATAAACAACTTATGTATGTAAATGTTTAGTCCTTTACGATATCTATTTTGGCAGAGTATACATATATCCATCGAGTGCACTCTATTAAAGCTTAGCCGCCTTTTTCTCTGCAAACTGCCAACTCAGACCTTGTACACACACAAACAACAGCACACAATTGCACACATATATATGTACGCACTCACACACACACACACCCAAGCAGTCGCACCCTCGCGCCTTGCACAAACTTTTGTGCATTGGCCACAAAAGATTTGTGCCCGAAATTATCGTGCAGCACTTTGCTGCACTTACTTAACTTCGACCAGGTCTGCGACTGACTCGAACTTGAATTCGAAGTCGACGGCTGTGGCGGTGGCTGTGGCTGCGTCTGTGTCTGTGTCTGTGTCTGAGGAGACTGCCGCTGCTGCTCTTGCCGCTGACTCAGGTGTAATAAGTTGCCCAGTTGGCAGCGGCATTAGCTGGCAAATGTGTTGAGCGCTTTGCAGTCTCAGCTCAGAAAGTTCCCGGGACAGCTGTCACCTGACTTTATTCTGATTGTTGCAGCCAAGCGGCTCATAGAAACTATTTGTGCTATAGTTTTTATGACTGTCTGCTCCCCGACGACAATAGCAGTCCGCCGGAATGGCGTAGATTGAAGCAATGAGCTTCAAGATACCCTGTATGAAGGATTTAGTAAGCTGTTTARCTGATGATGATGATCCCATTTATTCTAATATATGCGATTCTAAGTTCAAGTCTGTGTATATTAAATATAGTACATAAAAATCTCAATAAATACAATGTGAAGCTCAACTATTCTTAATACTCTTGGCGTATATTAAAGAGAATATTTCGTATTTTCCTCTTAATACTCTAAATGTAAATTAAAGAGAATATGTATATAGATATTGTATAAAGTTCCATAAAATAATTTTGTAAAGTGTATTTTCTTAGCGTGCAGCAGCTAATCAACTCGTTTTATCAGCGACTTTGTTTGAGGGTATTAAAGATATATTATATATATATACATTTATATACGTATGTATGTATATATGTATATTCTAATAATCCAGCCGTAAAATCGCCCTCACTACTTATATGCGCCAACCTAGTGTCTGTCGCATTCTATTGTACGTCTCTAGTTGCTCTAGCTCCTGTCCGCATAGCTCGTAACGTAAATCCCAGCTGTTGTCCGTCGTCCGTCGTCCGTCCGTCGTCTGTCGCCTGTGCTTTGCGCCTCTAACTGTGCTTGTGCAGCCACCTGACCCGCTGGCTAAATAACTTATCTATTGTACGAGCCTCTATACAAACAGCCGGACACCCGCCGCACTCTCCACGGCCGGACACAAAGCGTGTATACGTGTTCATAATGTAAAGCAAATAATACGAATGCGCGCACAGATAAAATACACATGTACAAATGTGTACTTATGTGCTACCTGTTGGTCGTTTATAAGGTCCCAGCCTGGTGTCTGTGTGGAGTATATTACGATTGGATAAGTTTTGGCAGCTGTGCGAGTTGTGGGAAATTAAATAACGAACAGCTGAAACGGGGGAAACATTCATTCAACTTAACTGAAAATGCCTAAGACAAAGTTTCTCAGTTCATTGTTAAGCTTCTCTCAGATTGCTTGACGTATATACAAATTTAAAAACTAATAGTATTGAATGTAGAGTTTTATTTATTAATCTATGCCATTTTCAGGAATTTCTACTGTCGCTACTGTCAGTAAAATCCAAATTGTACTTCTTAGATCTTCTCTCTTCAGTTATTTACAGGAATATCAAAATAGTACTTAGCTTATTTAAAGAACGATCAACATAAAATAATAATGAACAAGCTTTTTAACAATATTTAAGAAAGAGTGAAAAATGTATCAGCTCATTTCAAGTTCTCTACTAAACTATTATCAACACAATCGTATAGCAATTTGTAAATTTTACATTGTTTTAATAAAATCATACAAATGAAACGTATTTCTGTAATATGATATGAGCTTATATGTATTGCAAATGTACAATGTAAAATATTAGCAACATGACCAAAATTTAAATCCAGTTTATCCAGTTAATCCTGGGACAAACATAAAAGCTCTCTCCTAATATTTCCATCTCCCATCTGCTCCTGCTGTTAACAGCACAGTGTCATATCAATCTAGAGGGTATCTTACAGTAGTTCACCCTCGTTTTGTATCAACCTAATTGCGCTAGCGTAACAGGGAACCTGTCCCGTTGCCACCGTAACCAAATGCCCAAATGGACGGAGCAGAGAGTAAGGAGCAAGGAGAGGGTCACAATTGTGACATGGATGGAATAATCATAAAAACGTTGAATAGAGAACATTTCAGATGCGTTCAAGGCCAGCCATGGACATGGGCAACAACAATAAATTCAATGGGATAAAAAAGAGAAGCAGCCCAAGTAACCCAACCTACCCAACCTACCCAGCGCTCCGAGTCATGTCAGTAAGGGAGTTGTGTGTCAGCTCTCATTCAACTGGTCTTCATTCGAGTTTCATTGGCATTATGTTTATTGTCTATGCATGAATGATAAATCTGAAAGCGAAACCCGAAAGCCCCTTTCCAGCTTTGTCATTGCCATGCCATTGCCATTGCCAATGCCAATGCCAATGCGATTGTGTTTCGAGAGAATTTAAACCAGAAATGGTATCTGGCTGGATTTTCGCAAAGTATTGTAGCCACTTCTTGCTACATGCTCCGCTTTTGACGTTGCAAAAGCTAATTCGCTCATCAGTCAATAGGAAATTTCATTGACAATAAAAAAAGTATTTCTGATCTAAAGTTAACCAAATGATGAACCGAATGCGGAATTTAAATGTTGAATGTTCCGAAATAAAATTTGATGAATTTTTTATTGCGGATTTTTCAATAAATAAGTCGTTGGTATAAAAAACATAATATATTCATACTGTGTGTTATGCAAATTCATTTGTTTTTTCCGGAATGCTATACAGGCGAACTTGCCTATAGCGCACTATAACAACGAAGGCTGATTTGAATGCAGTATTCTAATATACTTTAAGTTATTCAACTCTTTCGTGTAATATCCGCAAAAAATAGCTTGAACTTATTTCCATATTAAAAGCATCTACCCAAGCTGTTCTCTATATTAGAGTCTCACTGTGCTTACGAGCTATGCATGCATTTGATCGAACAAATCTGCGAGCCAAACCAACTGAAACTGATTTGATTTAGCATTGGATTTACTTTGTGTGCGTGTGTGTGGGCGAATGCCGCTGAAAAGGGGAAAAAAGGATTTGCATATTCGGGAAAAACTCAACTGAATTGACAATGTAATTTGTTTGAGTATTACGTATGCCGAGAAAAAAAAAAAAAAAACAAAAAATAGCTGCCCAGCAGTCATAAGAAATAAAGAAGAGCAAAAAGTTCAAATGTCTCTGACCTGTGGCAGAAAAACACAAGTTTGACGTCTGTTGCTTCCAATTGTAGCCCTAATCCAACGCCAACCCCTATTAACGTCATGGAGTATAATGAACTCAAGTGCATTTCCCACAGCCATTAAGTTGTGGCTTGCTTTGCACTCAGAGAAAAGCGGGCAGAGATTCAGAACTTTTCAGTTTGAGAAAAGTTATTATTAGAGCAAAATGCGAACGGTTCTGGTTGAACCGATTCGATAGAGTGACAATTAAATTTACCTAGCTTTTTTGAAATTTCTATTTATTCTTTAAAGAGCTCTAATCAAATATTAAACTTTATATTATATTTAAAAACAATCTTCAAATCAAAATTCATTTTCCCATAAGCATCCTAGACACCAAATGAATGGAATTCGTATGTTCAGAATATTTTCCCAGCTGTATATTTTATTGGAATAGGATTTCGAAGTTGATCAGTGTTAATATATCTTTAAAATGATTTTTTAGAACTCAAACTGTTCAAATTATTATTATTCTGCTYTGAAAGTTTTAAATGTAATCTAAACTAAGCGAAGGCTCTTTCATATATGTAAGTTTGTAAGGGGACCAACCAAGACATCGAATTTCCACTGTATGGTTTTTAAAAAACTTTAAAATTTCTAAAACTAATTTTACAAAATGTTTGAAACATTATTATATATCTGAATATATTGACAGAAGTCAATTATGTAAGTTATTTGCTCAGCATATTTCTCAGTGAAATTTGCAGAGAAAGACAACTTTTCTTTCTCCACAGTGCACTGTGAACCGACTCCACAAGTTAAGGAGCTTACTTAACTCTCTTTTATTATGTCCTTTTCCCGGACAACCCTTTTAGTAAACTTTGCTTAATTACATGCCCGCACCCGTTAAGCACATATTTAACACTCGCACACACACAAACTCACACACATGCATGTATGCTATGTGTAAACATAAATATTTTCTCAGCAGTCGACCCCCCGCTAGACCCCCTTATAGAGTACGCCTCTGCACTCAATGCTCGGCATTGACCAGCACTTGGCTGTAGAATTAGCGTCTGTTGTAAAAATAAATGTATGGGTATGCGTGCGTGTGTGTGTGTGTGTGTGAGGGTGTCTGTCTGTGTGTGCGGAGTGTATTGCTGAAGCATAAACAAGAAAAGTCCATAAAACACTTAGGATCAAACAATATACGAGGAACGTCAGCAAAACCGTTGCCTATTTAGCGGCGCCCGGTGTGGCTGTTGTTGGCGTTGGTGGTGCGGTGCGGTGCGGTGGCTGAGAGGAGCATTCAGCTGGTCAACTGCTCAGTTCAGAATTAGAATTGTGGGCCAAAAGTCACGTTCGGCAACTTAGTTAATAGAGGAGCACAGCCACAGCCCCGCTGCCCTGGCTAAGCCATCGATTTTATTGCCACACATAATTCCTTTGACGGGCGGCATTTGGGCAAATCTCATGTTGATGGCATATTAAGTGGGGCAGCAGTTGCTTTCGGCGGCCAATTTGCCTTTAAATGCGTCATTTGCCAACGTTGGGGGCTAGTTTCAGTGGCAGGTGGCAGCGTTTTGTGGCAACTTACGTGTAATTAGACGCATCCGGGGGCGTCGGAGTGATTGGGGTGCGTGGATTAGCAATTAAGCGAATGTCCTGTGTGTGTGTACGTGTGTGTGTGTGTGTGTGTGTGCGAGGTAACAAGCGCAACAAGTGCTAAAGAGCACACGCATAATCCCAGCGACTTACACACACACACATCACATAAGCATACACACGCACACAGTGATACACAAGTATACAGACACAGCGACTGGCAGTTGTATGCGTGAGTGAGAGGCAGCGCATAAATCAACATGCCAAATCGCAGCTTAACAACAGGCGCCACACACACATACAGAGGCACATAGCCAACAGCAACACACACACACACACACACTCGCATCGCAGCTCGCATAATTGTTGCTAGAAATTAAATATTTTAGCTTTACCATTATTTTGATTTACGATGCGCGAAAATTTCCTGCAACTTTTTCACTTTTGAACTTCACTTTTTGTTCGCTAATTGTCTGCAGCAACAGTTTGTACACTTATTTTTCGTTTTGTGTTTTTCTTTTTTTTTTTTTTTTTTTTTTTTGTGTTGCCATTTTAAATTTTGCACTGGGCACCTTTTTTTTTTTTTTTTTTTTTTTTTTTTTGTATGTGTTGCACTTCCGTTTCCGCTTGGACGCGCGCTGGTGCTGCAACTGCCGCTGGCTGCCGCTCAATATGGCCCGACCGAGCGCGCACGCAGCTCGAGCTGAACTGTGGCATGCCACACGACTCGGCTGCATTTTTGTTGAGACTGGCCAGTCGAAGCTTTCTAAGCTCGCGCTTCCAGCCTGGAAGTCCTCCGACTGAGAGCGCTTTCTTCTCAAAATTCGGCTTTATTTCATTTAAGTTTTAGTTCTGATTTGCGGTTAAATGTTCCGCAACTTTTATTTTATTTTATTTTTTTGTGGCTCACAGATGCTAGCTTGTGTTTTTTTTTTTTCAGCGTTTCTCTTTACTAAAACTTTCTTATCTTAGTTGATTTAGATTTCCCCTGATTCAGAAGTTTCACCGTTTTCTTTTTAAGTTTTAAGTTTTAAATACATGAACAAATCTCAACATATAATTTCAGCATGCAAAAATTCTTATTTTTGTTATTGTTACTTTAAAAATTGTTTGTTTTCTTTTTTGTATTCATATTATTCATTTATAATTTATTTTTGATAGCTATGCATGCATTAAATATCACTAAACGAGCAGAAATGAAAGTTTTACATATTTTAAAAGATATGTCTTAACTAAACTTTTGGGAAACATTTTTGTTTCCCCCACTTTTTATATGCTTTTCTAATTTTCTGTTGCTAATATTGGATGATTGAAGCTTTTAAGCGAAGTCCAAGATTATTTAAAATTAATTCCGTAGACTTCTTTGGCTCTTCCTTAATACTATCACATATAGAATTATATTGATTATCTAAAATTTTCGAATGCTTCATTCTTTTTTTTTTTTCTAAATATAACAAAATCAAAACATATTAATTTTTGTTTGATAAAATCTTTTTAGTTTTATTTAAATTTGCATTTTTTTGCTGGATTTTTTTTTTGTTGGTTTCTTTATACAGATCTTAAGTTTAGGCTTAGATATAAACACTTATTGAATAAATAGTTTTGGAAGTCTGCGGCTTAAACTCTAGAGAAACGACTAAGTGAAAAAGTTGTATCGTTAGTATAGTCTTCGTTAGTTATATAGAGTCCCGCGCGGGCGGGATTATAGGTTATATGCGTTTTTTGGTACTGGAGTACAGGGTTGCTTAGGCTTATAGGTGGTGCAAGGCGGGTAAAGATGTGTGTTTGTGATAAATTCTGTCGCTTCCTGGAGTCCTCTTACAGCTCGGCAATACGGGCTTTCAGCTTGTCCAGCTCGGCGTAGATGCTAGCGGGCAAATCGGCGCCCACCTGCGACTCGAAGTAGTTGCGGATGTCCTCCACCTCCTGAGTCCAGAAGTCTTTGGGCAGCGAGAACAGTTGCTTCACATCGATCTGCTCCTTCATGCCGGCCAAGTTGAGTTCCCCCTCAGCGGGTATGTGGCCAATGGCAGAGTCGACATAGCAGGATTCACCATTCACACGGCGCAGAATCCACTCGAGCACACGGGAGTTCTCGCCGTATCCGGGCCACATAAATTTGCCCTGATCGCTCTTGCGGAACCAGTTCACATGGAAAATCTTGGGCACCTTGCCACGCTTCTCCATGCTCAGCCAGTGGGCCACATAGTCGCCGAAGTTGTAGCCAAAGAAGGGACGCATCGCGAAGGGATCGTGCATGATCACCTTACCCTTGTGCTCGGCCGCAGCAGTTGCCTCGCTGCGCATAGCGGCGCCAATGAAGACACCGTGGGTCCAGTCGCGAGCCTCGTAGATTAGGGGCACGCCAGCTGGGCGACGACCGCCGAAGAGCATTGCAGAGATGGGCACGCCAGCTGGATCCTCCCAGGCGCTGTCGATGATGGGGCACTGGGCTGCAGGTGTGCAGAAGCGCGAGTTGGGATGAGCGGCTGGCTTACCCGACTCCTTGGTCCAGGGGTTGCCCAACCAATCGGTGATCTGCACATTGGGTGCCAGGCTGCTCTCCATGCCCTCCCAGTAGACGCCGCCATCTGAGGTGGAGGCCACGTTGGTGAAKATGGTGTTCTTAAAGACCGTGCTCATGGCAATGGGATTCGTCTCCTTCGATGTGCCAGGGGCAACGCCGAAGAAGCCGTTCTCGGGATTGATGGCACGCAGCAGACCCTGCGAGTCGAACTTCATCCAGGCGATGTCATCGCCCACGCACTCCACCTTGTAGTTGGCTAGCGAAGGGTTCAACATGGCCAGATTGGTCTTTCCGCAAGCCGAGGGGAACGCGGCAGTGATGTACTTCTTGACGCCCTTGGGATCGGTGATGCCCAGGATCAGCATGTGCTCGGCCAGCCAGCCCTCCCGCTTGGCAATGGTGCTGCCGATGCGCAGAGCAAAGCACTTCTTGCCCAGCAACGAGTTGCCTCCGTAGCCGGAGCCATAGGACACAATCAGGTTCTCAGCGGGCTTGTGCAGGATGATGGTGCGCTCTGGATCGCATGGCCAGGATGGCTGCTCCACAATGCCGTTAGCTGGAGTGCCCACGGAGTGAAGGGCGCGCACGAACTCCTCCTTCTTGGCCAGCTGCTGCAGCACAGCAGCGCCCATGCGGGTCATGATGCGCATGGAGGCGACGACATAGGCCGAGTCGGTGATCTCAATGCCAATCTTCGACAGAGGGGATCCCACTGGACCCATGCTGAAGGGCACCACATACATGGTGCGACCCTTCATGCAGCCAGGGAAGCGCTGCTGAATAGCTGCCTCCATGTCAACAGGCGAAATCCAGTTGCCCAAAGTGCCCTTGACGCCATCCTTGGGCGTGGGAATGGTTTCCTCACGCTTCTCAGTGCAGATGAAAGTCTTGGACTCCACGCGGGCAACATCGGCCGGATTGGTGCGTGCCAGCCAGCAGTTCTCGTACTTGGGCAGCGCCACAATGGTGCCCGACTCCAGCAGCACCTTGATGAGCATCTTGTTCTCCTGCTCGGAGCCATCGCAAATGTGCACCTGGTCGGGCTGGCACAGAGCAACTGCCTCCTCCACGAAGCTGCGCACACCGGCAGTCAAGGAGTTGACATCGCCATACGAGGTGGGAATGCCACGAATGTGGCTGTACAGGCCGCAGTTGTCCTGGCGGAGCTTGTTCAGCTGAGGCAGAGCACAGCCGTTAGCGGCACTGAAGAGAGGAGAGAAGAGAATTTATAAGTTAATGTTCAGTTAAAGAGAGACTGGGTCAGTTTATGAAATGTGGAGGGGCTATGCAGAGAAGAGCAGAATATACATATATCTTCATTTTGTATACGAATATGTATATATGTAGAAATGGAAAACATTTAAAAAATCAACATTTTATATATGATTTTTTTTTAAAGATTTTTTTTAGCAAAATATTAAAATCAATTTTCAAAGTCACGTTCTATATTCGCAAAGGATTTATTTATGCAAAAAAAATATTTGAGACTAAATAATTTGGAAACTATTTTCGCACAATGTTTTTTCTTTTTTATTTATTTTAAGAAAACGCACTAATTTTGTTTCTTCTTTTTTCATTTCAAAATACATTATGGGGCATGCAACATGCTAGAGGTTTCTGGGTGTGGTGATGCATATGCTCGCTTTTCATTACTTGTTTGTTGTTGTTGGGGAAACAACTCGTACTTACATAATTTTGCTTTGTTCAATGAGCTCAGGCATATTGTTAGTTTTTTGTTTGTTTTCTTTAGGTTTGTATTAGAAATTAATATTCTTTAAAAGACTTTGGAATATGGCGCACTAATTAACGGTTCGATTTATTTGCTTTTATTTGGGCAAAAAAATTTAAGTATCACAATTTGAATTATCACAATTTCAACTTTTTGTTGCTTTTGTTGGTTTATTGGGCTTTAGCTGATGCGCTCTTGTAGTTTCATATGTTTTTCCAGAGTTTTTTGTCAAATATCAATTTGATTTTCAGATCACTGAAATTAAATGTTTCACTTGATCTTTCCATTTACTCAGTCCACGAGTAACTGATGCCAGCTGCTTGCTGCAGTCGGCCTTTTATACGCTGCGCTGCCTGCCGGGCGACTGCCCGATGCGACTAGAACATGATTAACGGGGGCCGCACGATCGGCTGCCATTCGGCTTCGGCTGTCATTCGGGTTCGGCTCGCTTGTGTTTGTTTCTATCTTTTTATGAGTAGCGCGCGCGCCACAGGTCAAACTGCGGGCCAGCTGATTGGCTGTTGGGTCGGAGGCTCGGCAATTGTTTTGGTTTTTCACTGAGCTTCTGGGTGAGCGCGGAGGGCGAGCGAAAGGGGTGGGCTGCTGGTGCCGCTTGACAACAAGCCATGTTGTTAGTGCCGCTGTAGCAAGTTACAGTTTATTTTTGTTTCTCATTTATTTTGGCTGTTTTTGTTTTCTTTTTTTCGTCGATTCGCCGCTCTTGGAGTCGTTTCTGTTGTTGTTTTGATAGCGCGCCTATTCGCGGTTGATAAGAATCATTTAGCGCTATTTACGTTCCACTCAGCGTCATTTGGTTTTTCGCTCTGTCAGCTGCTGCTAATTTAATTACTTTGTTTATTTATGCTTTCCACTCTATATCGTTCCAGTGCGTAAATAGCCCAGTTATTATATGTTGTCAAATACGTATCAATAAGTTCTTCCTACGTACAATTATCGTAACATGAGCTGCCTGTTGGTCTTTGCTTAACCCATCGAAAATATACAGAGCACAGGCTGAGTAATATAATTATTTGTATATTTTGATTCATATTATTAATATAAATATAGGAATATATAAAATATACATATGCAATCTCAATCCAAAATCTTGAATATTAAGCTATTAATAATTCAATTCCTGTTAATAATTAGTTCATTTGTGTCAATAATTTTCATCATTAAGTAAGATGTTTTATTCTTTCCAGAGATATGAGCCAGCTTCTGTGGTATCTAATTAAAAATAATGGTTTACATATGATAAGATGAATGCTCCTTATGATCTATAAATACATACACATATACATATGTACGTATATATTTATATATAGTGAAATAACAAACCTTATATATGTATCTTAGTTTTCTTATTAGCTTACTTTATATTTTTATTTACCTATAATATCTATAGTATTAGTATTAGTATTATCCGAACATTGTACAGATGGCTTATTATCTGCAGTCGATGATATGCCATTTAAGATAATGATGAACCCAAGTACACCCCAATTATCTACTTATATTTGCCTTATCAAAATTCAAGTTCACAGTCAATGTTATAAGAGTCCATACGAATTCTATATATAATATTTATACTAAGGTAACTCTTTTTCTTACACATAGAAACGGATTCATATTCCCCCCACTCTCACCTATACCTTTTAGCTTTTCCCTTTCAAAATTGATACAGCTAATTTGTYGAATATARGCCTATGGAAGTAATTCCTCCMCTCCAACCTAAGGCTAATACACACGCGCCCACCTACGCCTTCTGTCACGACATAGAATCACATGGCCTTTTCGATCTGTTGTCACGTTGCCAGAATATATATACATATATACATATATATATGTTTTGTTTGGCCACTTTCGCTTATTGGCGAAAATGGTGACGGGGAAGATGATTCGATGATCTAGCAAAATTCTACGCTGTTCTATTATAATGTTGGCCATGGCCATCAGCCAACCGACATGGAGGCCATGAATGGACATAGTGAATTTCACATGACATGACGCGAATAGCCGCATGGAATCATCATGTGCTCTTCGAAGGAGAAATGAAGGTTCTCACCAATTTTGTTGGGATACGAGTGATCTCTGTACCCACAAGTAAATGGCATTTTGATCGGGTAGTTCACCTTAAAGTGAGCAGCTCGTAACCTTGAAATCCTTGAAAAGTTCCGTTGAAGATTATTTATCAGCCAACCTCCACGCGCCTGTTTTAATGGCAAATGAAAGAGCATAAAAAAATATTCAACACAAATTTGCGGAATGCTCTTTTTGGCGTATTTATTTTTAAACCGTGGACTTGTTTTTCTAGTTGAGCTTGATAAGCAGCATCATCATCATCACAATCATCATCAAGTGTCTGCCTGTGCTACCCCGCCTGCCTGCCAGCCTCCTCCTCAGCTCCCCACTACCTCAGTCCCTATGCCCCTTGTCTCAGCCCCGCGCCGTGCAAAGATCGCCCAGCTATATTACTAAAGCGCGTTTGATGACTTGACTTAATTTTTGAATTTACGTCAATGAGTTGGGGGATCAATAAGTAATAATGAAAATCAATACACATATAGCGAAATATATATTGTAACGGGCCTTATCAGCTTGCACAAACGAGCCCCTGCAGTCTCGATGCAATGGAAAATATTTTTTTCTAAATATAGGCTTAAGATCTGTTTTTAACTGTAATCCGGATCTAGAAATTGTTGTAATAGCTGACGAAAGAAATTCGGATGTTACTGCAGCAGGCTCTAGGCTTCACTATGTTAGCTAATGTGATAGACCAGGAATTCCCACAGACCTTAGACCTTATAAGCTCTAACAATGTGAAATGCCATTAGGAAAGTCAGTCAAATTTTGATTAGATTATGTGATATAACACATATGTATATATACTTTATAATACATTAATAATTGCTGCAATAGATGTTATCATTAAGTCTAAAAATAAATATCTTAGCATAGTCAAAGGTCCATGTTAGATGTTATCATTAAGTCAAAAAATAAATATCATAGTAAGGGCAAAGATCCACATGGGAAAGCATATTTGAGTTTGTGTTAAACCTTTATAATCTATACTTGAATAAATCAATGTATTTACCGATCCTTCTTACTACTTATCCTTCGATTTATTTGATTGGGATCTAGCAAGGCTAGGCTCTTTACTTACTGTGTTGAAAACAGGATTATTTCATCTCAACCATAGCTCATGGTTAGCCAAGAATCTTCAGCCGAATACAATTTTGATATATATACATATATATTGGCTGTTAATCATTATTGATAATTGTTTATGATCATCTAACCGGATCTAACGGAACCCCTTTTTCGGGCAGACTCAATGCGTTATCAGAGCCGCGTGCCGTGAGGCTTGTTTCTTCTCTAATTGGCTGCATGTCGAATCACACCACCCCATGACCAGGTCTTTAATCAGACCTTAACAACTGCGTGGCACGTTTATGAGCTCCAAGTTTTTGGTCTTTTTTCATAATATTCCATAATATTTGCTCGTTTTTTTCCAGCGATCTTGATAATTCGCAGTGGTGCAGAGAGGTTAACACGATTATGAATTTATTTGCTTGTTTACGCCAATTTCGTGGACGGGCCTCTCTCCCACTTCCTCGCATTGCCTTCTCTCCCTTTGCGTGCCCGAAAAGCCACGCCCATGCCTATGCCCATGCCCATGGAATGCGATACAACAAAATCTTTTTTGCTGGTTTTTTTATGAGAGTTTAATAAACTAAGATTAGGAATAACCTATGAAACCGCACAGAATGGAGCGATTATTCACATCACATGTTGGCCACACGCTTCTTCAGTTCTGTCAGCTGGTCTGCGACGGGGCGTGGCAAATAGTCGCCCACCTGGTCCTGGAAGTACTGCTCGATCTCTTTGGCTTCCTGCTGCCAAAAGTCTTTGGGCAGATCGAACAGCTGCTTCAGATCCACATTGCCCTCCACGCCCTCAACATTCAGTGCACCCTGACTAGGGAGCAGTCCGATTGGCGACTCCTCGTAGCATTTCTCGCCTTCCACACGCCGGAAGATCCAGTCCAGCACTCGGGAATTGTCGCCAAATCCTGGCCACAAGAATTTGCCCTCATCGCTCTTGCGGAACCAGTTCACGTGGAAGATCTTTGGCACCTTTCCACGCTGCTCCATGCTCAGCCAGTGAGCGAGATAGTCGCCGAAGTTGTAGCCAAAGAAGGGACGCATCGCGAAGGGATCGTGCATGATCACCTTGGCCTTGTGCTCGGCCGCAGCAGTTGCCTCGCTGCGCATGGCAGCCCCAATGAAGACGCCATGTGCCCAGTCGCGCGCCTCGTAGACCAAGGGAACGCCAGCGGGTCGGCGACCGCCGAACAGAATCGCTGAGATGGGAACTCCTGCGCTGTCCTCCCAGGCGGGATCAATGATTGGACACTGAGCCGCAGGCGTGCAGAAGCGAGAGTTGGGATGCGCAGCCGGCTTGCCCGACTCCGCCGACCAGAGTTTGCCCAGCCAGTCGGTGACCGTGACATTGCCCAGCTGAGAGGCGTCCATGCCCTCCCAGTAGACGCCGCCATCCGACGTGGAGGCCACGTTGGTGAAGACCGTGTTGCGGAAGATGGTGTCCATGGCAATGGGATTGGTGGCACGCGAGGTGCCAGGGGCCACGCCGAAGAAGCCGTTCTCGGGATTGATGGCACGCAGCACACCCTGCGAGTCGAACTTCATCCAGGCGATGTCATCGCCCACGCACTCCACCTTGTAGCCCGGCAGAGTGGGCGTCATCATGGCCAGATTGGTCTTGCCGCAAGCTGAAGGGAAAGCGGCTGCCACATAGATCTTCTTGCCCTGCGGATTGGTGATGCCCAGAATCAGCATGTGCTCGGCCAGCCAGCCCTCCCGCTTGGCAATGGTGCTGCCGATGCGCAAGGCAAAGCACTTCTTGCCCAGCAACGAGTTGCCTCCATAGCCGGAGCCATAGGAAACGATCTCGTTCTCGGCTGGCTTATGGAGGATGATGGTGCGCTCTGGGTCACATGGCCACGAGGCCTGGGCCTGCACGCCACTGGCGGGAGTGCCAACTGAGTGAAGGCACTTGACGAACTGGCCGTCGCCCTGCTGCAGCACGTCCAGCACTGGAGCGCCTGCACGCGTCATAATCTTCATGGACTCTACCACGTAGGGAGAGTCGGTGATCTCAATGCCTATTTTGGAGAGAGGTGAGCCCACGGGACCCATGCTAAAGGGTATGACGTACATGGTGCGACCCTTCATGCTGCCCGGGAAACGCTCGGCAATGGCCGCCTTCAGATCCGCATCGGAGATCCA